AATAACTTTAGGCAGAAGTGACAAGTTTTCAAGTAAACTGTGGGTACTGAAAAATAAGCCTGCGAATTGCAATACTACTCTGTGTGACAATGATCTATATCACTCACAAACTAGGTAACAGAAGAAACATATTTCACAGCGAGGAACCAGAGCACTTTATAGCAATGATGCCTGTTGCTCCTAGTTATCAAGAAATATTAAAGCCGCAGCACGATTACAGAAAGCATCTGGGGGTCATTTAAGAGGAACACAAAACAGAAAACCTTTTCACTTGAGGGATTTGTGGATCTTCTTTTAAAAATTAGATTTATGCCTATGAGTAATTTTTTTAAATCTCCACTAAATTATAATATGATCTTTTGTTATACATGAAATCCAGATTAAATTTACATTCAAAACACAAATGATTTATATCTTAATTGACAATTCTGCATTTTTAACTAAAAGCCTGAAAATTCATCCATGGCCATCCTATTTCTTGAGTCATCAACTATAAAGTATTCATAATTAGAATCCTGGCTGCAACAGATACGCTCAAGTAAGTAGAGTTCAAATCAACCCTTTTAGTTTTTAATAACAAAGCAGACAAAAATCTTCAATTACTGAGTCTATCCCAAACTAGCTGTGTTTGTTTCCAAAACACATGAAATGTTTTTATAAATTCAGTTTTGTATTTGGAACTGCACTTTAAAGATTGCCTATAAACTATGTACTGAAAATATAAGCACTCTCCTTGCATTTTAAATGTCTTCAAAACTTCCTCATGAGTTTTCATATATACCATGTTTTGTATGCTCTGCTTTATATCATGGTCAAGAACCACCACTCTGTCAGAGAGCTCTTGCTACCCTAGCACAAATTCAAATTATTCACCAATATTCAAGCCTGTTAGCACCACAAAATCCTTGCAAGAATTAGGTGACATTCCAAGGAAACACTGATAATATTCAGGAAACGGAGTTACATTTAAAATGATTTGATCAGCCTCAGCCTACATAGAAAATAGATTTTAAGAGACAGCTGAGCGCCACTCATTCATTCAACAGTACTTGCGTTTAAACCTGTTGTGCCAGGCCCACTTGCAGGAGCAAACAAGGTGGACAAGGTCCCTGGTTTCATGAAAGCTTGTATTTTACTATGAGGGTCAACCAATACCTAAAAGACAAAAGAGGCCACATGACTGGTGACTAGGAGAGGCTATACAGGACAGCACCTCTCAGTTTTTGTGCCAAAAGAAAGGTAAGAATGACAAGAAGGAGCAGGCATTGGAACACATGGAGAAAAACAACCCAGGTAGAGAATTCAAACAAGCAAACACAAAGACTGTTTCAGCTCGACATGCATGAGGAACAAACCGTGTGCTTGCTGAGCCTGCAGAAGAAAAGAGCCCAGTCTAAAGTGGGGTTGTTGACTCCACCTCTCATTATCTGCATCATGTGAGAGTTAACCACTTCAAGACCTGTTAACTCACTACAAATTGGGGATAATAAAATCTAATTTCTAAGTTTGTAATTAATATTAATTAGTGTAAATAAAGCACTTGACACATAGTAGACACTCAACAAATATTAGTTCACTCGTCTGCTGGTGTGGCTCAGTGGTTGAGCGTCGACCCAATGCACCAAGAGGTCGCTGGTTTGATTCCAGGTCAGGACACATGCCCAGGTTGTGGGCCCGATCCCCACTGGGGGGCATGCAGGAGGCGGCCAATCAACATTCTCTCTCATCAATGTTTCTATGTCTCTCTCCCTCTCACTTTCTCTCTCTCTAAATTCAGTATAAAGAAAAAATATACATATTAGTTTACTCTTCACTAGGGGAAGAAGTATTTTACCCAGTAGAGATGAAAAAATGATTATTAGGTCCAATTATAATGTATTTCATAATATAGCTGACTAAGCCTCATGAAACTTTCCAACAACACTGCAAAACAGGTTTTATCATCTTCCCATTACAGATGAGAAAACTGAAGCTCAAGGAGATCAACTGACATTTGCAAAGTGATTCTGTATAAGAGCTCGAGCTTGGACCCAGGTTTTCTCATCTCATTCCAAGACCTCTGACCTCTGGCAACTCTACGCGGCCTGTTAATCCTATCTCTGTTCAAATAACACATTAATATGGCTTGAGATAAAGAGGTAACAGCTTTTCACAAAATAGTGAATGAAAGAAAAGTCGTGGTAGTTAAATCTGTTTGTAGAGGACAACTCAGGTTCAATGTGATCAAGGGCAAGTTGTTTTGAAGCCAGAGGAGCTTGGCTCTATGGCCTACTATTTACTAGTCATGCAACCAGATACATTTCTTTACTCTTCAGAAATTCAGCTTCTCATCCAGTAATACTCATTTGGAGTTAGTAACAGTATTTATAGCATCAAAATGTGCTAGTAATTAAATAAGGTAATGCATGTAAAGCACTTAACACACCATGTGGCATATAGCAAGTGTTCAATAACTGGCAGCCATAATTATTGGAATGTCACTTCTCATTTGCCAAAAAAATTTACCAATTTATAAGTGGTAATTTTTAAAAGAATATCTTTTCAGAATATCACCAAATCATAATTTTTCATTTTTGCATATTAATATCACCTTTATTTTTAAAAAGTATGCATACTAAGCTAAGTAATGTGCTCTCATGTTTTTGTTTTTGTTTTAAAAAATGCATTAAAACTTCTAGCTCACATGACACAGAGAAAGAGTCAAAGACCTTACAGGTTTGCAGATGATGACTTGTAGAGAAGCCCACGACTGACTATACAGCTGGCTGACCTAAAAAGTTTCTTCTGCACCTGCCGATGATGCCCAGCATCCAGTATCACAGGTCACATGATACAGTGGGGTCCATATCATGTTAATCATGCGGCCCCTTACAAGAGTTACAAATCTTGTAACAGAGTATTTCTTGGTAATGTGCAAGAATAGGGCAGAAACAGGCATTTTGTGGCTGAGGGTTCTGACCTCCGTTCTGAGTAGCTTGTAAAAATTATAGGAATGCTTCTTTAAACAAACAAACAAACAAAGAACACATGCTAGAACTATTATTGAGCACTAAAGCATTCAAACAATATCACCATTTACCGATGGTAGCATTTTAGGGCTTCCAGGGTCCTTTCAGAGTCATTCTTTCATTTGAGGCTCACAACATCCCAGGGAGATGGCACAGTGAGGATTACTTCCTATTTTAGAGACTAGGAGGCAGAGACTCACAGAGGAAAATCGATCGCCCAAGTTGCGCTGCTAGGACGCAGCTAAGTCAGGACTGGCCTTTTGGATCTTCACCACATTATGACATCATGATACTTACTTCTTCATGTGATAAGCTGGAAAAATCCACTTGCTACACAAGATAGACTCGTTCTTATGCTATATTTTAGTAAAGTGATGTTTTGTTAAAAAAAAAAAAAGTGTTCCCTACCACTTATATACAGATCACGTCCTTGTTAATAACTTGAAGGACTTGGAGTCAGTTCTGGTCTAATAAGCTATAGAGTTATTTACATATATATATATATATGTAAATATATATATATGTAAATATATATATATATGCATCTATGCAGGTATTTCTATTTTTTGTGTATCTATCATCCTATCTACATATACAATGCCATTAGCCCTTGCTCATTAAATTATCATCTCCTCAGTTCATGGGCTGTTCATTATTGTTTTTTTTTTAATATGGTTTACTCATTTTCTAAAGAGAGAGGAAAGAACAAAGTTATAGAAACATCAATTGGTTGCCTCCTGCACGCCCCCTACTGGGGAAGAAGCCTGCAGCCCACAACCCAGGCATGTGCCCTGACCCGGAATTGAACTAGGACCTCTCAGTCCATGGGATGACACTCAATCCACTAAGCCACACCAGCCAGGCAGGCTGTAAATCATTTTTATATGAATAAATGTCTTTTTCTATGGTCATCTGGTGATTTCATACCATTGATAGGAGAGCTTTGGGGATATTAAGAATATCTAAAAATATCTGGGCATATGAAACACTCTTAATTTATTAATTTTTCTGTGGACATGAGTTTAGGAATCTTGTGGGTATTACTTTTTCTTTTAATTAGCACTATAGTAAGGAGTGTTCCAGGATATTACCCTACAAATATGACTTTTTCTTCAAATAAATACTCTGGGAAGTACTGGCTTACTAATACAGATCAAAAGGTACATATTAATAGGCATATAAGTGAGAAACCCTGGAAGTGAGTAACAGAAAATAAAAACAGAAATAAACTAGCCATGGAAATATACTCTTTCCAAGTTTTAACACAAAGTACTAATATTATATAACCTTTGACAGTACACTCCTGAAGAAACAGACTGTGAATCTTCAAAGCAAAAAAGTATTTTCCCAAAGTCCTCATAAAAGCAAAGTGTGCTATGGTCGACAAAATTTGTATCAAATTAGCATTGGAACCATGTATCTAACCCAATTCAAATCCCCTTTAGATGGAAATAGGAAGGCCACGGAATGTGATTTCACAGTCAGAGCGCAACATATGTGCAGGTACACCCCACCAAAATACGAAAATGACTAAAATTGACACCAAATTGTGGAAATACCCACGCTAACTTCAAACCACTCACTGTCACTGCTCCAAATTAGAAATTTGTTCAGCACGACAACAGAGACTTTCTAAGGGATTGCCTTGTCCACACATTCACCCGACGAGTCAAACCACGGGTTTCTTTCCAGATGTGCCATGTCGGGCACAGTATCAAGGACACCAACCAATATTTTCTTCAGTGTTCATAGACCCATCTGGCATCAAACAGTCACAGACAGAAAACAGTATGTTCCACTGAGTCATCTTTCTTTTCCAATTTTTTTGGGAAAGGAAATAAATAACAGGGAATATTAAAGAAAAAAAGCATATAATTCATTTATTCAAATATTATACAATTGACCTAATGTCCAAGGTAGTGAGGTAAACATGGGGAAATGTTTTTCTTTTCCCCTGCCTTTTTTTCCCCTTTTTATCTTTTTTTTTTCTTTCCATGTCCCCCATTTACAACATGGACCAGTCAAATGGCATGGGCTGGGGTATATAGGGGTGGGTTACTCTGCCCCCTCTGTCTGTATGGTCAGCGTAAGAACAGAGTCTGTGGTGAGCCACAGGAGAGGCCTGAGGGGGAACTAGTTTAAAGGTCTAAACAATTTTTTGGTTTATAAATTCAATCTCTCTCTCTCTCCTTCTCTCTCTCTCTCTCTCTCTCTCTCTCTCTCTCTCTCCTTCTCTCTCTCTCTCTCTTTTTCTCCCTCTCTCTCTGTCTCTAACTGGCTCTCTCCATCTATCTAAAAACATATATATGACCTTAGCTGTTTTTGCTCATTGGTTAGAGTATCGGCCTGTGGACCAAAAGTTTCAGGTTTGATTCCCAGCAAGGGCATGTACCTGGGTTGCAAGTTCAATCCCTGGCCCAGGTTCGGGGTCATGTGGGAGGCAGCCAATCAATGTGTCTCTCTCACATTGATGTTTCTCTCCCCTCCCCCCCCCTTCCTCCCTTCCACTCTGTCTAAGAATTAATGGAAAAATATCCTCATGTGAGGATTAACAACAACATGTATGTGTGTGTGTGTGTGTGTGTGTGTGTGTGATACACACACACACACTCATTGAATAACTGACTTCTAAAGAAGTCAGTTATTGATCAAACTTTCAGAATTCATGTGGATTTCTTCCATGGATAAGGAGGGATGAAAGTGGGGGAGAGACATTCAGTAGATCAACATTTTCTCTGGTTAATCTAATTCTGAGTCCATGTGATGCTTTCTGAAGGAAAAATAAAGGCAGGTTGTGGAAGAGAAAAAACACTTTCTCTTGGGATATGAAAGAAAATTATATAACAAATTACTTGTTACAATTTTTGAAGACAAGAGAAGTGTAAGTGTCTCGGACTTTTTAGTCCTCTCTCTACTGCTGGATTCTAACGCAACTGAAAAGGGTTCTCTAAAATAAAACAATGCATCTTTTGATCACTGTGTCCCCGATCTTCAATTCCACTTTGATTTAGGAGCAATTCTACTGCTTTGATGTGCCACCAGTTTGAGACCTCCTGTATCAAGCAGAAGTGCCAAAGCCTGTGAGATTTAGAAGAGAACAATTTAGTTGAGTAAAGCCTTAGTAAACTGGACCTCTCAGGAATGTAATACACTGAATTGCTACTTATGATTAAATAAACATTTGGAGGTATTTGCAGCTTTCACACACTCTTTTTTTCTGTAGAAGTTTTTGTAATATATGTTTAACATACACCTGCCTTTTCTTTTCTTTAAAAAATTTTTTTTTCTTTATTGATTTTAGAGAGAGAGGAAGGGAGAGGAAGAAAGAGATAGAAACATGATGAGAGAGAACATCGACTGGCCGCCTCCTGCATGCCCCCCACTGGGGATTTGGCCCACAGCCTGGGCATGTGCCCTGACTGGGAATTGAACTGGTGACCTCTTGGTGCATGGGTCGACACTCAACCACTGAGCCGCACTGGCTGGGCCCGCTGCCTTCTCTGAGCTCTCACTCCTGTTGCTGATGTCACTCTTACTTCTTTCTCCGTTTTTAATATGGAGCTTCCTTTCTCCTTAGACAAAGAAATAAGACAACTTAGGTTGGTAGGACTACAGATATCAGGTCACATGACAGCAGAATAATTTCTTCACTTATCAGTAAAGTATAAGAAATCCCATACAAAGATATCATGATTTCTCTTTTGAATATTTAGAGTGATTTTTTTTCTGTTTTTTCCAATGTATTTCAATCGGGATAGAGTAATAACTAGATAGGTAAATGTTTTTTAACTATTAAATAAACAAATGAGATAAGCAAGAGTAAGTAATCTTTCAAATGGATAAGGGCAAGTGAACCTTAATCAGGCTGGGTAACTACTGCCAGATAAAATACAGTATCTCTCCATAAACACATCTTTTTACCCTTTTAAGAGGACTCCTTTGGGCATATAGAACAAGGAAGTCATCAAACAACTTGGTTTCTTGGGATACAGACCCTCAAAATATTGGCCATGGGGCCCTATCTTCAAATAATACCAGTGGAATCGAACAGGTTAAATATCCTGCAAAGATTAGTGGTCTGTGCAGATGTAAGTATATTGGGTCCAGTGACACAAAATGATTGGGCTTTGAGACTCAAAAGGATGCAGAAGGTGCGTGGCATGAACCCTGCCTTCATCCCTTGCTGTCTTGCCAGCTCACACTCCTTCTCTCTGGCTTACAAAGGCAAACCTTCCCAGGAGAACCCTGCCCAGAGCCTTCTGACAATGGCCTGGATCAGTGGCAGAACTGGAACTAGAAACCAGAAAGGCCACCACTTTCGAATAACCAATGGCATCAATTGTATGGTAAGCCTCTCCCCTGACCTCACCCAAATATAATCACTGACCTATGACTCTACAGACTTCAGATGCCTTTTTTTTTTTTTTGGTAGAAGTGATCAACAGAGGTAAGATTTAAAATAAAATAAAAACTGATTACTGTTTAGTTTAACAAAAGACAGAATACCAAATGTGGATGGATCAGATGAATGTCTACATTTCTTCCCTAATTTTCTCTCCAAGTAAGAGCAGTGCAAATAGTCATAGCAAGGACGCTACTGAGTAAATGCTAGTGAAGTGTTTCAACAAGAAATTACAGTAAAATATACCAACCAAAAATGGTTGTTTGACAGAATATTTTTAAAGATAAATCTAGATTTGCTCTTTAATAATAAGCAATTTACTATAAAATCAAATCACTTCTTCCCTAAAATATTCGCTAACATCAAGACTTTGTACAGAGTGTATTTTTGTCACAAACAACCCATGTCTGACAGCCATTCCAATACAAGTTTGGTTATAAAAACACTGCAATACATACCTTTTTTTATTCTACTTTTAAAACAAATCTCCAAAAATTGTCGTGATTTAATAAGAAAATAAAATCTCAAACAAAAAGATTAATATTTATTTTATCAGTTTAATAGATTGTTTAGTTCTTTATAAAGAACATTATATGCCTTCAAATCTAGCACATAGACAAATTCTAGAATTTTGTAAAATGCATCTATAATCACTTAAAAATCTGATGCAAATTTGATGCATTCATATATGAAAACAAAAGAAAAAAATCTTTACAGTCCAAACCTTACATTTCAGAAAAGAAACACGAAGGAGATTTGGAGTGGCACAGTCTAATCCTCTTATCTCATTGCCACTGATATCATTATTCTTGGACAGCTCTTAGCCCAAACCAGAGAACACAGGCTTACATGCAGGTTTACAAATAGAATAAAATCCAGGTAATCAGCAGAATGGCCCAAAATGAAATAGCCTAACCTCTTTCAAATGGCTCTGTGCAAGTTTAATTATCTAGGCTTCTGTTGGGCACAACAAGGATATTACTAATCTTTTACTATCCCTTCTACCAGCACATGCTATGAAACACCAAGTATTAACTCAATGCATATAAAGGTATGCCTGCTTTAAAAAGTAGAAAAGAAAAAGAAACCAATTTGGCTAGAATTCTGCAATCTGAGTGATAGTCCACAAACTCAGGAATGTTTCATTCATGTTCCTGAAAATATCCTACAAAGCAACCATTTTCGAAAGGGGGAAAAAAAGCAAGATTTTGCATTGCTACACCGGTTCAGATGCAACCCTCTGAAGAGGGAAGAGAAGAGTGTGCTCTTTGGTAATTAAAATTCAAAGACCACATACCACGTTGTTCACTTCAGATTTCCTAACTGGCATCACAAGGAGTACTGCAATATAATTATTTTTAATTGCCAATTCACATATCTAAAGAAAAGAATGGATGAGACTCCCCAGAGGGACTGTTCTACAGCAGGAGTCTAATAAGGAGCGCGGGCTTCAGCAAACGGGGGCTTTAGTCAATACTTCACTGGCACATCACCCCCAACGTAGCAACACCACTTAGAAATTATACAGGTCTTTCATTTGCAAAGTGCTTTACAGTAATTAATCCTCAGAATATTCATTTATGGGGGGGAGGGAGATTATAAAACAGAGGATTCTAAACAAGAAATGGTTTGGATGAGGCCATGTAGGAGTTGTCATTTCAGACTGAAATAGTCCCTGGCATGCCCCACGCAGCAGGGCTCTGTTGATACGATTCACAGTCCTAATATTTTTTAGGCACTGATAGCGGCGTCACACTGTTTTCTTTAAGCCCACTGGATTCTCAAAACGTCACTTCTATACTTTGAGTGCTAACATTTTAAAAGCCACAGATTTTTTCATACATTCTCAAAAACTGAAAGAATCCCTATTTACTGGATACATATTCTTTAACATTGAGAGGACATTTATAAACGTTATCATTACTTAGACCAGCAATCTGCAACCTTTTTTATCACATGGCACATATAAACTATTTACTAAAATTCTGTGCCACACCAATATAGATAGATAGATAGATAGATAGATAGATAGATAGATAGATATGTATAAATTTTTTTTTTTTTGCCAATCTAGCAAAAAAAAAAAAAGTGTAATCATGACTCATTCACACCAGACAGCTATTGTTGTACTAGCTGTGGTCATTTTTTAATTTTTTTAATTGGACAATCTAAAGGAAAAGAGGTCAGTGCCCTGACTAGTCAGGTGCTGCATGTTTAAAATTTTTTGCAGCATGCTGGTTGAAAATCAATAACATAGACCTCAGCACTGTGGCCACAGACACAAGTTCACCATAGGATAGGTGTCCAGACAGAAAGCAGTACACAGCACAAGGAGCCCAGGTGTCATTCCAAAGTTCGCATTGGATAAAGAACTAATATTCTTTCAGCTTCACTCACTTGTTTGTTTCTTCGTTCATTACTCTACGATTACTGAGCACTGTACTTGCAAGTTACTGAACTAGATGATTTAGCAAAAAAAAAAAAAAAAAATCTGTCACTTGATCTCATGGAGTGTATAATTATCCAGAGATAGACAGGTAAATGAAAAAAGATGATTAAGGACCACAATTGAGGGATGGGAGCACAAGAGAAGGAACAAATATTTGTATTTGGTGACATTCAGAACAATGCTCCACTGAAGAGGCTGTTTTTCCTTGCATTTTGGATGAAAATGGTTCTGATGGGCAGAAGAAATTGGGGGAGTTTACTGAAGACTAAGGG